AGTTGTTTGGGAGAACGTTACTCTACAAGACAAACAAGAAGTTGGTAATTTCACATTTAGCGCAACGCTTCATAAAAATGGTGATATAGTGTTTGCTTATTTCAATGTGCCGATTCTAATAGAATCAATACAAGACGATAAGCATCCCGTGAAAGTAGGTTTGTCCGATGCGTATATTATCGATAAAGTTATTTACTGTAAGTCCATATGTGTAATATTTTGAATTTGATTTCTATTATCAATAATTTGATTATATAGTCACTCGTCGAAAAACGATTTACGAATATCACCGAGTAAATTTTGCTCATGAAGATATTACAAATTCGACAATTATACACCTAACAGCTTTACCAACCTGCCTCGATTACACTGATTGCATTTCTTGTATTAATCATAAGACTCAATTTGATGTAAGTAATAAAATTGGCTTAGATCTAAACTCATAAATAAATATATTATACATTCTAAAGTGTTCTTGGTGCCCAGCGTTGAATAGGTGTTCCACTGGAACCGAAAGAAAGAAACAGGATTGGCTACAAAAAAGTATGATAAAAAGATTACTTCACAGTTTTACATAACAAAGTTGTTTATTTATTTCTGCTTAGATTGTGAACGCACACAAATATCAGACACTTCTTTATGTCCAGCATTAGGCCAAAAGGGAAACAATGCCAACAATAGCAATAACAATTCCACAGACTCAAATACAAATAGTAATAGTAATCAAACAGATTCCTTACATCCATTGTATCCCTATGAGTCTGGTAATACAACAACAACGCCGACCAACACGGGGACACTCAACAAAGCAGCACTAGAGCACACTCCAGAGAAGCAAAAAAGTGCAGGAGTGGTTTTAGGATTTTTAACACCAGTTTGTTTAATATTGGTGATAGCGTTATGGGTGTTATATGCTTATAGAAACCCTCATACTAAAAGCGGTCAATTGTTAATACAGGTACGTTTTTTAGAATTATGTATGTACTGCACATTTTCGTGTTTATATTTTTTTAATACAAAAAAAATTTCATTTAACTTTTATGCAGTCCAAGAATTTGCATCAGGTTTGTACTGCGATAAATAAAAATAATTTTTTATTTCATACCACTTGAGTTATTTTAATTGCAATTAGAGAAAAATTAGAGAAAAATGATACTTATATTCTTTTACCATATATACAATTAAACTTTTTTTTCATTTGGTTTTTATTGAATACAGTACCGACCAAGTCAATGGTCTTGGCGACGCGGGGAAGCTCGATATACAGCTGCTACAATACATATGTGAATAACCTATTTTTACACTGTGGAAAAGATGCCCCGACTTATAAATGTTTTTATGTTTTCTTTGTTTTATATTGTTTAATTGATAGCAAGTGCATAAATTTTATTGTAATTATCTCAGTATCCTAATTAAACAAGGAAGCGATAAATATCATAGTTTATGATATTTAATATTTTTTAAATTTTTGTATTAATGAATTTATATTAATAGAATTATATTTTGAGTTATTGTAACGAGTCTACAGAGTAGTGGTTTACGCGCCCTACTCTAATATTAAAATGGAGGATATGATTCCCATTACGGTTTCTGGTAATTTTATATTTTAAATTTCTATCCACACACCAGATTAATTGTATATTAAATATGTTTCAGCCTATACCTTTCCTAATTAAATTATTGATTATTTTACGTCTAACTTTTGTGATTGTTATTATTTTTGCTGAATTTTTAAATAAATTTCTTTACTGTAATTTTACTCAATACAAATAAAAAAATATTTTGAAAATTAATATTTATTACTAAAAGAATAAGTATTGTTAAACAACTTAATGAAAATGATTTTAAACTGATAGCTCTAATTGGGAAAGATAAGATACACTATAAAACTATTCAAGTTTGAATCTGGTTTTAACAACAAGCAAAGTGAGTATAAGAATTATAAGTGTAAAGATGTTTGGCCATGTTTACACGTAATAAATCAGATTTTTTGCGTCGATATGTGACAATGGATCCATCACTTCACTCCGGAATCAAAACGATCATCATCTGAGTGGACTGCAACCGCTGAACCACGTCCGAAGTGTCCGAAGGCACAACAGTCAGCTGGGAAGGTTAAGGCTTCAGTATTTTTGGATGCACATGGTATAATCTTCATTATCATTAACTATCTCGAAAAGGGAAAAACCATCAATAGTAAGTACTACTCGGCATTACTGGATCGTTTAAAGGCAGAAATTGTGAAAAAACGACCGCATATGGCGAAGAAAAAAATTTTGTTTCATCAAGGCAATGCACCGTGTCACAAATTAATAAAAACGATGGCAAAATTGCACGAATTACACTTCGAATTGCTCCCTCATCCACCGTATAGTCCAGATCTGACCCCCAGCGCCTACTGGCTATTCGCTGATCTCAAAAAAATGCTCGCCGATGAGAAATTCATCTCAAATGAAGAAGTAATTGCTGCAACTAAAGCCTATTTTGAGGTAAAAGACAAATCCTTCTACAAGCATGGCATCGAGAACTTAGAGAAGCGTTGTAATGATTGTATTGTTCTTCAAGGAGATTATATTGATGAGTAAATCGATTTTTGGCAGAAAAAATTTGTTTTTCTTAGTTGGTCACCCGTATTATTGACTGATGTGTTATCAAAAAATTAAGATTATGAATTTGAACCGCCGGCACCACAAATGCAATTTATTACTCTCCGGTTCAGCCTTTGAAGCAATGCTCAAACAATTAACGTAAATAATCCGTAAAAACAACGTAATTTTGTGGACTTCAAGCCTGATTCAATATTTAATTGCTGACTTAATAAGATCAAAACGGAATTGGTACCTTGCATATATCTGAAACCAATTTGTCTTCTTAAAACTGTTTTCGAATTAATGGATACAAATTTTACAATACTAAACAAACCTACCGTAAAACGTGTAACAGCACTAGGGTTCTTCCTAAAAACATAATAGAACATTACGGATTCCAAAAACACTGTTAAATATATTTATAATCTACTTTTATTCTATTATTTCTTGACCACCCAAGATCGTATTTTCAGCAATCAACTTTCCGCCTTGATTTACAGTCAGTACTTTTTAATAATCTTGGTTTTAAAGTACTAGTTGCCGGTGGTTTTAATGCTAAATACATTTGACGGTTAATTGTATGTAGCAGTAAAAAATCAATTCTCAATTTAACTAATAAAATTGATGAAGTATTTGATTAATTGAGTAAGGCAACTGCGGTGAATCTTTTTGATTTCATTCTTGCAGGTCATTTAATAATAGCTAATAGAGATAATGATTAAACCTTCTTGGCCTTCAGCAGAACGAATGTTTTTGATCTCACCTTGATTTGTGAAAACTTCTCACATATGTTAACCAACTGGTCTGTTTCATAAGACGACAGGAACTTAACATTCACTATTGACCTATTGATGATGTACTCGAATGTTATTAGATCACCTAAGCCAATTAAGAAAATATGGACTAACTGGACCACTTTAAACATCAGCTTACAACTAATTTCTCTTGCCATTCGTAGCTGTTCCGATATCGATGATATGACTAATTTATTAATCGCAGTTCTTACGTTTTCTGCGTACGCGGCCCGAAAGGTCTCCAAGCTTCGGTAAAACTCAAACGTTTATTGTGAAACCCAGCAATTGGAGTTATTGTTTAAACTTTTAGGAAATTGTATAACAGGGTGATAACTTCAAGTGATGGGTGTTCGTATAAATGGAAACAAAAAGTGTTAAAATATGCCATCAGGTGGGAAAACAGGTCATCTTGGAAGCAGCTCTATAGCAACATAGTGATATTCGTTGAGACCACTCAAGTGTGCGATTCATACATTTGAACTATAGACATCTCCAAGTTTAGACGGTATGATTTCTGTTGACATTTAACAGAGACGGCTTCTTATCCTACCGTGGTTATTAAACAGATACAATCTTTGATTCAAATTGACTGAAATCTGTAAACGCTAGTAAACTGATTTTATTAGTTGCCCTCCAGACCTTTGGATTCATGTTATGGTTTTTGCAATTTGACATAATCATAGTTATTTTGAATCACATGGGAATGAGAGTTTTTTCCCTTTTTCCAATAATGCTATTCTTATTCATATGGGAATGGGAGTTTTGCTCCCTATTCCCAAAATCCTTATTCTGAATCATATGGAAATGGAAGTTTTTATTATTATTTGTACCTACTCTGAATCGCATGGGACAGGGAGTTTCTCCCTTTTCCCCATTTTGCTATTCTGAATTATATGGGAATGATAATTTTGTTCCCTATTCCCAATTTTGATATTCTGAATCATATAGGAATGGGATTTTTTTCCCAATTTTGCACAAAATCTTTTCCAAGCAAATTGTTTGGAAGACAAGTTAAAAAAGTATTAAAAAGAGTTTAATTTAATATGTAAATAACTTATAATGATGAAATTTTTGAATATATTTTAATAAAATTATTATAATAAATGTAATATTTTTAAATTTTTATTTGTTTATTTTATCCACACGGGTTGATAAGTTTTTCGAATATATTTTTATAAAATTATTAGAATAAATTTAATATAACTAAATTTTTATTTAATATATTTTCTTAAAATTATTATTTTAATAAAATTATTATAATAAATTTAATATATTTAAATTTTTATTTATTTATTATATCCACTAGTGTTTTTTTCCACAAATTAAAGCATTAACTATTGTTATTTAAAACAATAAATAATGAAAGAAATCCAAATTCTGAAATGAATGAGATTCCTAGAATAAGATTAAAATATAATTTTTTTAATTACGCGCAGGTAAAACATTGCTTCTTTTTTATTGTGACATATACACAATCATAAACTATTATTACAGTTTATTAATTTAAGGGCATTTCTATCTTAATTATAAAAATAAATACGAATTTTGGAGAGGAACTCAAATTTTAGTTAAAAATTTTATTAAAACTTTGTTTTATTGTATATAAGAAAAGAATAAATTATATACATATTTAAAGAATAAAATAAATAAATAAAATAAAAATTTTCTATTATAATATTAATTTTCTATTATTTGTCAAGTATATATATGTTAATTACTATATTATAAAAAAAATATTACAAATTTATTGAAAGAATACAAAATATGACAAAAACAAATACTACATCATTTTTTGACTGTCAAGTAATTGTTTACACAACTTATATTTTTCCATTATTTTGAATTATTTAAACGATGTGCGATAAATTTACAGTAATTGGCGCCTTGCGTTGATTCTAAAACGTTGTAAATTTACCGCACATCGTTTAAATAATTCAAAATAAAATTTTTGCCCAAACATGGGGATTTTACCGTGGTCCCAAGATTACTTCAAAACTATGATAGGTAGAAAGCTGAATTTTGGTGTCCGGAAAACTTACGTTATTATCTAGATTTCAACATTTTTTTAAGGTTTTCCGCCCACTGCCACACCCACCCCCCATACAAAATTTTCATATTCAATCATTTATTATCGTTAAAAATACTTTTTGCACTTATTGGACTACATATATACGTGACTTACATAGCAACACAATTCTATGCAAAAAATGGGCGTGATCCGCTCATTAGTTCCTAAGTTATTTGCAGTTTATGCAACTTTAGCGAAATTATGATTTCGTAAAAATTTAACCAATTTTAAACCCTTATAGCTTTTTTACTATTTATTCAAAAATGATCATTTTTAATTTTTTTAAAGCTTACGATATTGTTATTCATTATGTGTAAAAAAAATTTCAATTTTAATTATCAATAAAATTTTATTAGCGAAATTGCACAAAAAGTCAGCATTTTTTTCATGGCCATTTTCACTTCTATCGGCGATACCCAAAAAATGTATCCGAGTTTTTTCATGAAATTTTTCCTATTAATAGCCAAATAGTTACACTTTACAATAAAACAAAAATTGGCCTGCGCACTCTATGTTTTACACCTATTTCAGGCCTCAGAAACCAGCGAAAAATTGCGAAAAATATGACCTTCAATAAACCCCATTTATTTTAACAAAAAATTCAATAAGTAATAACAAAAAGACATTTAAAATTTTATAAAGATTTAATTTATTTATATTTCAAATTTCAACTAAATCGGTTGAAGAATAACGAAGTTATAACACATTATGTTCAGACGCCTGACCGGAAGTATGATCACAGCGTTTAACCTTGAATGTACAGTTATTCAATTTTACACAAGCAAGTAATGCGTATTTGAAATATGAACACTTCCGGTCAGGCGTCTGAACATAATGTGTTATAACTTCGTTATTCTTCAACCGATTTAGTTGAAATTTGAAATATAAATAAATTAAATATTTATAAAATTATAAATGTCTTTTTGTTATTACTCATTGAATTTGTTGTTGAAATAAATGGGGTTTATTGAAGATAATATTTTTCGTAATTTTTCGCTGGTTTCTGAGGCCTGAAATAGGTGTAAAACATAGAGTGCGCAGGCCAATTTTTGTTTTATTGTAAAGTGTAACTATTTGGCTATTAATAGGAAAAATTTCATGAAAAAACTCGGATACATTTTTTGGGTATCGTAGATAGAAGTGAAAATGGCCATGAAAAAAAAGCTGACTTTTTGTGCAATTTCGCTAATAAAATTTTTTTGATAATTAAAATTGAAATTTTTTTTACACATAATGAATAACAATATCGTAAGCTTCAAAAAAAAATGAAAAATGATCATTTTTGAATAAATAGTAAAAAAGCTATAAAGGTTTA